GTTAGTGACCCATATGGTACCTGGTGGCTCATAAAAGGTGCTTAATAAATATTTGTAACTGAAGTAAAATCTTATCCTACTTCAACATGGCTTTGGGAATTGGAAGTTCTTGAGCATCTTTCTTTTTGTACCTGGTATTATTCCTTTGCTCTATCAGTGCTTCCTTGGGGATATAGGATGGGAGTGGGGGTTTGTGGCTGGATACAAAGAAGTATAGGCATTCATTGAAACACTGGGAAGTGTCAGTAACAAGTTCATGTTTCTCAGTCAACAAAAACTACATTCCTGTTTACACCCTCTGACTCCTTCTCCCACTTTTCTCCCTATTTAGGGCCTGCAGAAGAAAACTTAAGAACCTCTTTGTCAAGTAAATTCTGCTTAAGCAGAGTTGCAACTAGGAATTCTTGCATCTGGGGTAAATTTGGGGGTGGGTAACACAGAGGACAGTATGTCTCATATGCAGTTGTACCAGCAAAGGGGACAGATTGTCCTTCAAGGAGTCCAGTCTATGCCTTTATAACATGGCTGATACTCACTGACACCCCCTCCCACAATCCACGGAAGGAGATGGGTAATCATGGTGTAGCAGGAAGGCAGACCCAGGGAGAGGAGTAATGCAAAGCTTTGGTGGTGGCAGTGGGTCAGGTCTGTGTGAGGGAGTAGGAATAGAATTCCATGAAATTCATGGTGATGATGGACTGGAGGACTGCTATGAGAAGAAGCATGCCTTCTAGTGGTTATAGCCATGGGTCTAAGGGCTGGACACAAACCATGGACAATTTCATGGTGGCAGTTATTAACTGGGTCATATTTTCCTGTTTATATCAAGGTGGGGCGATGTGTAATCCACTACTCTACCATTTCTACACAGATCTAGTTGTTAGGATGTCTTCCCTCTAGCCAGATAATGTCTTAAGGGTACAATCTGCTCCAAATGTTAGCAAGCAAGCCTTAGGCCATACCACCTTCCCAAGCCATCTGGCACGTATATATACACCTAAGGGCCCATATGATCACATAGCATCATGCCCTCAGGCATGGTGAGGTGGAATGAAATAGAGAGTGTAGGATGTTAGACCTCATTACAGGGCAATCTGGATGATCTTTGTATAAGAAAAGACAGGCTCAGCTCTTAACCTCTGCCTTATATGTTATTAGAGAATGTTAGTAAGCACAGATCTCTCCATTCGAATGTGAATTTTTGAAAGCAAAGAGTGTTCTTATTTTATGTTCATACACCCAGTGCTTAGCATAGTGCTTTGTACAAAGTAAGTACTTGATAAATTCTTCACTCATTCATTCTCTGGCTAGCTTCAGGTACTCCTTGCATGTGCTTGCATTATTCACAAGAACTGCCCACATTTATGAGGATGTATAAAAGTTGCCAGACCCCAAATCTTCCTTGCCCTATGATCAAGGCCTCCCTTGCATTATTTTTTTGCTGGGACCATTCTCTTGGTCCATCTGTCATATTGGTTTCTGGACCCTTGACCTGCATCAACCACCAAGATCTGGTTGCCCTTTCCTTTTTTCAACCTCCTGCTTCCCAGACCCTTAATTTATTTCTAGAAACTAATGCTGCAGACTCCCTTGTCTCTTCCTTGGTCAAGTATTTTCCAGAACTCCACTTGACCATGGATACCATGCACTCCAAAGTCTCTGCTTTGACCCTTCATCCCCTCCCTCAACCAGATTCTGGATTCCTGGTTTATTCCTATTGCAAGGAAGTATGCTACAGGGAAAGAGTGCTGGATTTGCAGTAAGAGAGCCAGGGTTCAGACCTGTGTTCTGCTTCTTAATAAATAGTAGCTCTTGGGCAAGTCATGTAACTCTTCTGGGCCTCAGTTCCTCATCTATAAAATCTAAACATGCTGAGGCCTTCCAAGGTTCATTCTAGGTTCTCCTTTGCTCTGCTAGTTTGGAGTTGCTCAATCTCTCACCTTATTGGTCCTAGGTCCTAATTTCTAAGCAGGCCACTCCTGGACATAGAATTATGTAATTTTAGATTTGGAAGAGATGTTGTAAATCATCTAATCCTCCCTGACACCTAGCACAAGAATCTTTTCCCATGATGCCCCACGAAAGTGGTCTTCCACCTCCTTCTTGAATATTTCTAGTTGGGGGTAGTTGGAGATCTCTTCCTCATCAGCTAGGCCATTTCATTTTTAGGCAGCCCTAATGGTTAGGAAGTCCTTCCTTATTACAGAGCTAAAAATCTAAGGCAGGGCTAAAATAAAATCTGCCTCTTTGTAATTTTACTGATTGGTCCTCTGGAGCTACCCAGAGTAAATCTAATCTCTCTTCCAGATGACAAACTTTTACATATTTGAAGGAAGTAATTTTGTTCCACCCCCAACCCCCTTCCCTTCAAGCCTACTCTTCTCCAGGATAAACATTTCCAGTTCCCTCTGGAGTCTTGGCCCTTTGCCTAAATATGCTGACTCCATTATTGCCTGGATTCAGGCATGACATTTCGGTCTAGAAAGGGAGCTGGAATTTGAACTCTCTTCTCCTACGTTTCTAGCCCATGGCAAGATCAGCCATGGGGTGCCTCTTTGACAGGCCAAGGGAAGGTTTGCTCTTGTTTGAGACAAGGCCTCAGATCTTGTTAGAGAATAAAGTTGAGTAAAATGGATGGAACTTGGAAGCTCAGCCAGCTGGCACTGAAACAGTGAACACTGCAGCAGGATGGAGAGTGAGCGTCTGGCATCCCGGAGCGAGGCGATCTGGCTGATTCAGGCTTGTCAGGGCAACGAGTCCCTTCCAGGCCCTGGAATGCCACATGCATGATATTGCAGGTTGTGGAAGCACCAGAGCATTGTGGGTATTCTAGTGCGCCACCTTAATGTTTCTAGTGAGGCTCAGGGCTTATTCTATTTCTTTATTTTTTATTTATTTCTTTATTTTTCACTCTTATGACTTTGTAATGGAACAGCCTCTGAGGTTTTAGTCCTCTTTAAGGCCTGGGTTTGAATCTTGTCTCCAACACTGGTTAACTATGGGATGTGGTCAAGCCAGTTAACCTCTGAACCTCAGTTTTCTTATCTGGGGAATGGGGATAATAATGCCTACCACGTCTATCTCAAGGTTGTTATGAGGATTAGATGAGCATGTCAAGAATATTGCCAACTTCAAAGCATTATATAAATATCACTTACTGCTACTGTTGTTGTCATTGTTGCAACTTGACCTTTAAAGTATTTTTGTTATCAGCTGTCATTCATTTGCCCCCTTTTGGGGTACTTGTGTCTCCTTTCTTCCTCTAAAAGCACCTGAAGCAGGGCTTCATTTTTTTTAGGAGTTGTCACTAAGGAAAAGAATGTACAGGTCTACCCTGAGTAATGTTGCCCCAAACAGATTAATTTCAAAATATTTCAATGACTTTGGTGAATCTATGATCTTGTTCATATGGCCCTTCTCTCCCTTGGTGCAGATCACGACTCATCCCTTCCCTCTCACCTTGTGTAATTTTTGTCTATGTCTTTCCAGTGCTTAGCTCAGTACTTGGCATACAGGCATAAGGACTAGACCTGTGATGTCATTGGCATAGGGAACTCCCAGTTGGGAAACTCCCTCTACCCATGCAGTGGCATCCTCTTTGGAACTTATAATCTCAGAGAGTTGATTAGAGCCTGGAGAGGCTGAATGACTTTCCCACAATCAAAAGCCAGTACATGTCAGAAGTGGGATTTGATCTCCCGGCTGGCTTTGAGACCAGTTTTCTATGCGCTGTACTATGCTACCTCTCATTGCAAAGTTAATTGTACTGTGTACAAATGGCACATTTGTTGTTCAGTCATATCTGACTCTTCATGACCCCATCAGCAAAGATACTGGAGTGCTTTGCCATTTCCGTCTCCAATTCATTTTACAGATGAGGAAAGTGAGGCAAGCCAGGTGAAGTGACTTGCCCAGGGTCATATAGCTAGTGTCTGAGGATGGATTTGAACTCAGGTCTTCCTGACTTCAGGATTAGTACTCTATCCATTGTGCCACCTAACTCCCCTACAAACAACAAATAGCAAACATTTAACAAAGGTTCTCTCTGCTTTTCCCCTCTCCTTGTCCCTTTCCTTTTTCCCTACTCTTTCCTGTCCTTCTCCCTCTCCCCTCCCCCTTCTGCCCCCTCCTCTTTCCTTTCCTTCTTCCTATTCCTTGGCTCCCTTCAACACTCAGCTCAATTGCTGTAACTACACACAACCTTTCCTTATTCCCACCCCCCAATTTTGTCTCCTACTCCCACTAATTACTCTGCATGCATTTTGTATTTACCGATCTGTGTACATAGTTTGCCCCGGTATTATATAAGCTCCTTTAGGGTGCTCTTTCTTCCTTTTGTCTTTGTATGCCCAGTGCCCACCACAGTGCTTTTACACACCGCAAGTGCTTAATAAGTGCTTGTCCAACTGAATTGGACAAATGAGGAAACAGAAGCACAAAGAGCTGGTTTTTATGAGGATGGGGGTGTTCTTGCTCAGGGGGCTTGGTTTCCCACCTCCCATATCCAAGTGTGGAGACACTAGGGATGGGCCAGGGCAGGATGACATTTCCATGAAAATGGGCATAGGGTAAGCATGTTTGGAGTAAAGATAGCTTGGTACAAGTAGAACAAGTGGATCTCTGAGAGCACCCCCTTGCTCCCCCAATCAGAGAAGATGATAGACTATCACATCTTATTATCTAAGATATATGGTGTCTATTAGTAAGTGGAATAACCAAGCCCATATTTTTTCTTCCCAAAATTATTGATAATGCTCAATATATGACTAGTCAATTCCATCCTCTGGCTTCCATTTCCCCTACCTGCAAAGTAAGGAACCTGAGTCTAGATTATCTCTGAAGATCCCTCTTGGCTTGTACATCCTATGGTTCAATCAGATGATCAACAACGCATTTATTAAATTAAACTTGCTAGAAGCAAGTACTTCTTAAATTAAATTAAATTAAACTTGCTAGAAAGACTTTTGAGTTTCCTTCTTCTTCCCTTTCTTCCTATCCAGATAACAAGTATGATATCAAAGTCTACACTGGAGATGTAATTGGTGCTGGGACAGATGCAGATGTCTTCATTAATATCTTCGGAGAATATGGTGACACAGGTAATTCCAGACCATTTTTTCCCCACGTTTCTCTTCTAATGTCAGGCTTTAGGTAGAACACTTTCTGGCAGGCCTGGCACAGTCCATAAGGTTTAGTTCCAGTCTGCATGAAAGGAATTCAGTGTCTCCATGTGGAAAAAGGCAGAAGAGAGGGAGATGGTGTAGAAAATGCTAAACCAACCTGAAAAGGAAGGAGACTTCAAGGCTGCACGTCGGTCTTTTTTGGAAAGCAAAACTCTCCAAATAAAACAGGTTTTTGTGGTCAGGATATGGGGCGTTGCGCCTGATGCTTATATTTCAAATGTGGATTACTCACCTTTCAGGATAAGGGGTTACTTGACTCTTCTGAAATTTCTTTTTGTCACATGACCCAAAGCAATGCTGGTCCCTTTGTTCCCTGGGGCTGAGCTTACTAGGTGAGTCTTTCTCACTTGACAGTGCATGTTACTTTGTCAAAAAAGGTACTCTCTGACATCACCTAAATTTTGTGTTTGACTTTCATCTGAAATGTTGGGGACATTATGGCCTAGTCCATTCCAGCACTTTGAGGATGTAGAGGTTTTCACAAGGTGGTCATGGAGGCCAATAATGGATATGGCAATAGGCCTTACTAGAAGGCCTGGAGTTTAAAATGAGACACTGGGAGTGAGAACAGAGAGTACAGGGGCATCAGGGGAAGGAGGCAGGCCATGGGGCAGACTATTGGAACCTCTTTTGTAGTGGTTTTTTAGTCCACAACAGAAAGAAAGGTAGGGGTGTGAGATAGTTCTTCAGACAGATGTACACACTTCCCTCAGATCTGGCACCTCTAGGTCTTGAGAAGCTCTCCATTGCTATTCCTAGTCAGTGTGATGGATGAAGTCCTTCATCATTTGTACAATGGGGCCCAGGCATGGCCTTTTATGGGGATGGGCCTGTTCTTGCCCAGTCTGATTGGTTTCCCACCTCTCAAGTCACAAGTGGGAAGACACTAGGGATGGATGAGGGAAGGAGGACACCTCCATGAAAAGTGGAGGGTGAGAAAGTGTTCAGAATAAAGGCAGCTTGCTGTAAGTGAAACATATGGATCTCTGAGAGGCCCTCCAAATCAGAGAGGTTTGTTAAACTATCATATCCTATTGTCTGGAATATGTGATATCTGTTATGACTAGACCCATATGTGATATGGTGGAAAGTTCACTAGCCTTGAAATCCATCCTAGCTGGATTTCAAGGTACACAACCTGGCTCCAACAGATGCTCACCTTAGGGAAATCACCAGCCTCTCTAAGTCTCAGTTTTATCACCCTTGAAATGAGGCTATTGGCCTAGATGGCTTCTAAGGTCTCTTGGGGCTCTAATATTAGTGATTTTGTGAAGAGTGTCAGTCAGCCATATTGAAAGCTTTGCTTTAATGAAGCCCTGAGATAGAGCTATTATGTAGCTGTAGTCAATCCTCCCTAAATCAGATTAAATGAGGGAAAAGACCAGTTAATATGGATAAACATTTTATGTACCTTTAAAGAGATACAGTTTGACTGTTTTCAGAATCCTTGCTCTGCTTCTTAAACTACTTGGTGACCTCAGATAAATCATTTCCCCTTTCTGGGTCTCAGTAAATGAGAGGGTTTGGGAAAGATGATCTCTAAAGTTCCTCCAAGTCCTATACACTTACCAATACATGAATTCATTCTAGGTCACCCTAGTATCACACTTTGGCATCTCTCTGAGGCATAGAAATAATAACACACAGGATTTCTGTGCATGTGCCATGTCTCTCACTGTGCCTTATCTAGGCTTGGGGCGGTGCTCTGTACTCAGTCTAGGTCCTTAATAAATAAATAATAAATTGTGGTGGTTGTATTGCTTTTCATAACGCGTTACCTGCCAGTGGCCTGATATAATGACTATTTGCCTGGTTTGCAATTGGTATACTATAATTCTTCTGAAATACTTGAATACAGTCTGATGGATGATCACAAATTCCATGGAAGGGAAAAGGAAAGGAATAAGCATTTATTAAGCATCTATTACGTGCCAGGCACATGTAAAACATTTTACAAATATTATCTCATTTGATCCTCACAACAATTCTATGAGATAGGTGATATTCTGCTCCCTGTTTTACAATGGAAGAAACTGAGGCAAACAGAAGTGAAGTGACTTGTCCAGGATCACATAGCTAGTAAGGGTCTAGGGCTGGATTTGAATTCAGGTCTTTCTGACTTCAGGACCAGTGCTTTATCCACTGTGCAACCTAGCTGCCTCATAAGAGGCAGGTATAAGACCTGTAGGTTTGCTTGAGGGCCTCCAATCACTCATATCATCCATGTCTCTCCATCTCTTGGCTGAGAATTCTGCTGAAGGATAGACCACCTCAAGAGGCCCCATCTCTACCTGTTCTATCTAGAAAGCGAGGTGTTTGTGCTGGTCTGGGACCATACCTACCTTCACACCTTACTTACTGAAGATTTGGAAATCTTCCTTGTGGATATGACTTCAGGAAGGCAAGATACTACTTTCACATAATTATCTCTTGTCTCTCTCCTTAGAGTTAGACTTTCAGAGTTAGAAGAAACTTTAACAATCATTTAGTCTGGGGTACATAACTGTTTTTAACAGAGTGTCTACTTTTCACTTCCCCAAAGAGAGAAAATAAGCAAAGTAGAAAAGGGCAGGAAGGGGGTGAGTTCTGTGCATAGTGTGAGAGCTTGGAGGTTGTGCTGCTTAATCATTGGTAAGCAAAAAAAAAAAAGGTAGAATTTAAGCCTTGAAGGATGAGTGAGGGTTGTATAGATAGGGGTGGGGGTGGGGAGTGAATTGGGAGATGGGAAAATGTCAGGGGATTGGGTCGTGAGCAAAAACATCATCTATATGGTACTGGAATGTGGGAAAGGCTGATGAAGGTGGGCCAGGAGATTGAAAAAAAATTTTTTTTTGTTATTCTGACCATGACAAACAACAAAAAGTATAAACATTTCCACATAAAAGAACAGAAAAAGAGGATTATGTATGAAACCAAGAATCTCATTATGTACAGTTTATTTTTGTAAACATTTATTCAATTCACTATGTTAATTCCAAAATTCTCACTTGTCTGTTTCCATTTAATTCTCTTCCTAATCTTTTCTGCACATTTTCTTTAAATGCTTCACAGACCCTCATTTCTTTTTTTCTTTTGGGAAGGGACATCACCATCACTAACCCCAAGATTCTCCATCTCTTCCCATAAAAACACCTCCCCTTGCAACAAGTTAGCACAGTAGAGCAAAAGAAATTTATGTATTGTCCAGGTCTGAAAATGTGTTTCTCATTCTGCACCTCTACTCTATCACTTCTATGTCAAGAGGTGGGTAGAATGCTTCATTATTAATATGCTGAAGTTATGACTCATCATTGCATTTATCAGAGTTCTTAAGTCTTTTAAAGTTGATTTTTAAAATTTTGTTGTATTCATTGCATTAAATTATTCTCTGATTCTGCTCACTGCACTGTGCATCAATTCCTAGACATCTTTCCAGGTTTCTTTGGTTACAAACCTTTGTATTTTTAATGGCACAATAATATTCTATCATATTCATATGGCATAATTTGTTCAGCCATTCAAAAATTAATGGACATTCTCTTAGTTTCCAGATATTTGCTACAACAAAAGTGCTTCTATGATATTTTTTGCACGAGTCCTTTGTGTCTTCCTTTGATTTTTTTTTTTGGCATGTACCTATGTAATAAGTACCATTAGATCAAAGGGAGGTCCCAGGAATTTTATTTTGATTTACTGTGCTAACTTGTTATACGATTTTTGGGGTCTAGTTCCAAGATGCTTTCCAGAATGGCACACCAATTCACAGCTCCACTAATAGTGCGTTAGTGTTCTTCCTCAGCCCTGCTTATACTCATTCTCCTTTTTCGTCATCTTTGCTAATCTGGTGAGTATGAGGTAGAACCTGAAGCATTGTTTTAATTTTCATTTTTCTTATGATTAGTGATTTGCAGCACTTTTTCATTTGGTTGTTGATAATTTGCTTTTCTTCTTTTGAGAACTGCCTATTTATATCTTTTGACTATCTATTGGGCTATACTTATCTATTTGATAAGTATTTCTGTACAGATTTATTTGAATTAATTCATTACATATCTTAGATATAGAAGCTTTATTAGAGAAAGATGCTGCAAAGATTTTTTCAAGTTAACTGTTTCCCTTTTAATTTTAGCTTCATTGATTTTGTACAAAAGTTTCTCCATTGTTGTATGTAATCAAAATTATTCACTTTATCTCCTGTGATTCTCTCTATCCCTATCTATAGTCATTAAAAAGTATCTTTTTTCCTGTTTCTCTAATTTACTCACTATGTGACCTTTTATATCTAGGCCTTGTATTCATTTGGAGTTTACTGTAGTATACAGTGTTAGATATTTGTCTAAATCTAATTTCTTTCAAATGACTTTCCAGTTTTCTTCAGCAGTATTTCTCAAATAATGAATCTTTATCCTAGCAATTGAAGTCTTTGGGTTTATTGAACACTAACCTAATATATTCATTTGCTCTTGTATCTTATGTTCTTAATCTGTTCCACTGATCAACTTTTATATTTTTTTGAGCAAGACCAGTTAGTTTTGATGACAACTGATTTATAGTATAGTTTGAGATCAGATACTGCTAGGCCTCCTTCCTTCTCATTTTTTTTTCATTATTTCCCGTGAGATTTTGAATTTTCTTCTACTTCAAATGGATTTTATTTTATTTTTAAAATTCTATAATGTAATCTTTTGGTAGTTTAATTGGTGTAATACTGAATAAGCAAATTAATTTAATTTAGATTTGTAATTTTTACTATGTTGGCATAGACCAATTAGGGGAAATTAATATTATTCCAATTATTTATATCTGCTTCTTTATTTACACCTGCTTCTGTTTCTATAAAAAAGTGTTTTATAATTGTATTCATACAGTTGCTCTATTTGTTGTAGTAGGTGTACTCCCAAATACTTATACATTCTGTAGTCTGAATAGAATTTCTCTTTCTTGTTATTTTTTGGGGATAATATACAGAAAGTCTAATTATTTGTGTAGGTTTATTTTATATCCTGCTGCTTCACTGACAATGTAAATTGTAAGTTTTGTTTGAATCTCTAGGTTTCTCTAAACAGATCATTATAGATCGTTAGCAAAATGTGATAGTTTTGTTTTTTTCTTTGTCTAGGCTTATTCTCTTTATTTTTCTTGCCTGATTTTTATAGGTAGAATTTATAAAACTACATCAAATATGAGCTGTGATAATGGACATCCTTGCTTTACACTTGATCTTATTGGAAAGATCTCTAACATTTCTCCACCATAATGCCATGTTTTGGTTTTAGTAAGATACTATTGAGCATGTGAGAGGTAAAAGTATTGTACTGGATAGAGAGCTGTATTCAAGCCAAGAAAACCTGGGTTTGAGTTCCACCTCTGACACATGCTAACTATGTAACTCTAGGCAAATCTTTTAACCTTTTAGTGCTCTTGGTAACTTCCTAAGATTGATGCAGATTACAGAGAAGATACCAAACTTCATTTTGGGAGAAGGAATTTTCTCATCTGATTATTTCTTATATACGTGAAATTACAGATTTAGTCCATTTTTATCATGTTAAAGATTTATTTATTCTCATATTTTTATTATATTCTTATGTTTTTAGTATAAATGCATATTGCATGTTTTGTTAAAAGCTTTTTTTTTGCATCTCTTGACATAATCATATAATTGTTTTTTAAAATAAATATCATTTACTAAGATAATACTTTTCTTAATATTAAACCAACCCTATATTTCAGGCTTAAATCAATTTTGTCATAATGTATTATCTTTTGAAAATGTTTTTGCATTTCCTTGCTAATATTTTAGTCAATATTTTGCAGCAAAATTAATGCTATTGGTCAATGGTTTTATTTCTCTTTATCATTTTAGATAGAATATTTTTTCTATTATTGCCAGTTTATGTAATATTTGATTTAGTTGTTCTTTGAATGTTTGATTGAGCTCATTATAAATCCATGTAATTTTGGAGGCTTTTATTTTGGATGTTCATTTATAACCAGATCAATTTCTTTCGTTTTTTGAGATTACCAATGTTTCCTTATTTCTTATTCTGCTAATCTGAATATTTTATAACTAATCATCCATTTTATGTATTACTTTTGTTGGTATGTAATTTAGCAAAATAGTTTTTAATAAATTCTTTTGTTTCCTTTTGATTTGAATTCTTTTTATTTTTGATGTTGGTCATTTGGTTTTTCTCTCTTTAATAAATTATATTAGCTAATAGTTTATCATTTTATTAGCTTTTTTAAGGTTCTGGTTTTACTTGTAAATGCAATTTTCCCCAAAAGCTTAGTTATTCTTTGATTTTCAGGATTTCTGATTTTTTTTAGACTTAGCTATAAGAATAATTTCAAATGTACCCATCAGTGGACTGGTCCATTGTGATGCTAGAGAAGCCTTGATCAGCAGATTTTTTTCCTTTGTCTTTTTTTCATGTGCACCTGTTTATATGTGCATGTGCATAGGGGAAAGGAGGCTGGAAAGTGAAAAAGACAACTTTGAAAGGGGGGCAGAAGACAAGTTCACGCTGGATGCGCCAGATTTGGGGCAGCTGATAAAAATCACTATTGGGCATAACAATAAAGGTGGATCTGCAGGCTGGTTCCTATCAAAGGTGGGTCCTTACCACTTGTCAATGACTCTCTACAATCTACAAAAGAAATTTTATATTTAAAAAAAATTATTTTTTCATTTATTTATTTTTAGTTTTCAACATTCACTTCCACAAGATTTTGATTTCCAAATTTTCTCTCCATCTCGTCCCTCCCCCCACCCCAAGATGGCATGCATTCTGTATACCCCTTCCCCTAATCTGCCTTCCCTTCTATTTCTCTCTCCCTTCTCTTATCCCCTTCAATTTTCCTGTAGGGCAGGATAGATTTCTATATCCCATTTCCTGTATATCTTATTTCCCAGTTGCATGTGAAAACAATTTTTTTTTAACATTTGTTTTTAAAACTTTGGGTTCTAAATTTTCTCCCTTTCTCCTTCCCCACCCACCCTCCTTGAGAAGGCAAGCAACTTGATATAGGTTATACATGTGTAGTCGTGCAAAACACTTCCATAGTAGTCATGTTGTGAAAAACTAAATATCTTTTCCTTCCTCCTATCCTGGCACCCTATTTATTCTCCCCCATGTTTCTCTTGAGTCTTGTACCTGAAAGTCAAATTTTCTATTCAGCTCTGGTCTTTTCATCAAGAATACTTGAAAGTCCTCTATTTCACTGAATATCCATTTTTCCCCTGAAGGATTATGCTCAGTTTTGCTGGGTAGGTGATTCTTGGTTGTGATCCTATCTCCTTTGCCCTCTGGAATGTTATGTTCCATGCCTGCCAGTGCTTTAATGTAGAAGCTGCTAAATCTTGTGTTATCCTGATTATGTTTCCACAATACTTGAATTGTTTCTTTTTGGCTGCTTGCAATATTTTCTCCTTGCGCTGGGAACTCTGGAATTTGGCTACAATATTCCTAGGAGTTTTCCTTTCGGGATCTCTTTCAGGAGGTAATTGATGGATTCTTTCCATTTCTATTTTGCCCTCTGATTCTAAAATATCAGAGTAGTTTTCCTTGATAATTTCTTGAAAGATGATATCTAGGGCTCTTTTTTTGATCATGGCTTTCAGATAGTCCAATAATTTTTAAATTCTCTCTCCTGGATCTACTTTCCAGGTCAGTTGTTTTTCCAATGAGATATTTCACATTATTTTCTATTTTTTCATTCTTTTGAATTTGTTTTACAGTGTTTTGATTTCTCATAAAGTCACTGTCTTCCAGTTGCTCTATTCTAATTTTTAAGGAAGTATTTTCTTCAGTAAGCTTTTGGACTTCCTTTTCCATTTGGCCAATTTTGCTTTTTAAGGCATTCTTCTCCTCATTGGCTTTTTGGACCTCTTTTGCCATTTGGGTAAGGCTATTTTTTTAAGGTGTTATTTTCTTTCTTTTAATTTATTTTAGTAATTTATTTTGATTTATCAATAATCACTTCCATATGCTTTTGAGTTAAAAATTTTTCTCCCCTTTCCTCTCTACCACCCTCCCCAAGATAGCACACACTCTGATATAGGCTATACGTTTACATTCCTATTAAACATATTTTCACATTAGTGATATTGTAAGTACAAATTAGAACCAATAGGAGGAACCATCAGAAATAGGAAACAAAACTGAACAGAAGAGAAAAAAAATAGCAATTCAACTTCCATAGTTCTTTCTTTGGATGTGGATAGTATTTCCCATCACAAGGCCCTGGAGATGTTTTAGATCCTTGTATTGCTGGGAAGGGTTAAGTTTATCAATATTAGTCATCAAACAACATGGCTGTTATTGTGTACAATGTTCTGTTGGTTCTGCTCACTTCACTCAGCATCAGACCATACAGGTCTTTCCAGGTTTTTCTAAAGTCAGCCTGTTCATCATTTCTTATAGCACAATAGCATTTCATTACATTCATATACCACAACTTGCTCAGCCATTCTCCAATTGATGGGCATCCTCTCAATTTCCAATTCTTTGCCACCACAAAAAGAGCTGCTATGAATTTTTTGTACATGTGGGTCCTTTTCCCATTTGTATGATCTCTTTGGGATACAGCCCTAGAAGTGCTATTGCTGGGCCAAAGGGCATGCACATTTTTATAGCCCTTTCGACATAGTTCCAAATTGTTCTCCAAAATGGTTGGATCATTTCACAACTCCACCAACAACGTATTAGTGTTCCAATTTTCCCACATCTTCTCTAACATTTATCATTTTCCTGTTTTGTCGTGTTGGCCAATTGGATAGGTGTGATGTGGTCCCTCAGAGTTGTTTTGATTTGCATTTCTCTAATCAATAATGATTTAGAGCATTTTTCCATATGACTATTGATGGCTTTAATTTCTTCATCTGAGAACTGTTTGTTCATATCCGTTGACCATTTATCAGTTGGGTAATGGCTTGTATTCTTATAAATTTGTCTTAATTCTCTATATATTTTAGAAATGAGGCCCTTATCAGAGGGACTGGTTGTAAAAATTCTTTCCCAATTTTCTACCTTTAAGGTGTTATTTTCTTCAGTATTTTTTTGGATCTCCTTTAACAAGTTGTTGACTTGTTTTTCATGATTTTCTTGCATCACTCTCAGTTTTTCCTCTACTTCTCTTACTTGCTTCTCAAAATCCTTTTTGAGTTCTTCCATGGCCTGGGACCAATTCATCTTTTTATTGGAGGCTTTGGATATAGGAGCTTTGATGTTGTTATCTTCTTCTGGTTGTATGTTTTAATCTCCTTTGACACCAAGGAAAGATTTTATGGTCTGACTCTTTTTGCACTGCTTGCTCATGATCCTGGCCAATTACTTGAGTTATAAACTCTTTGTTAAGGTAGGGGACTGCTTCCAGTGTGGAGAATGTGTTGTCCCATGCCTCAGGGGTTTTGTGCAGCTGTTTTCAGAGATACTTCTAGGGACCTGTACATTTTCAGTTCTTCCAAGATGCTATGAAAAAGGGTGAGATATTTACTGCTTTCCTGGCTTGTGCCCTGGTCTATGAGTGACCACAACTACTCTTTTCTGTCTTGGAACTATGAGGAGGATTTTCTCTTCCCAACCACTACAAGCTCCACCACGTCAGCACTCATCCTCATCCCAGCACCACCACTCAGAACTGTGACCCAGATCCAAGCATGGGCAAAGCAAGAGAATTCTGTACCAGCAAAGACATCATTGCAAACCCCTCTGATCAGCCACTCGATTCCCCCTCAGTCTTTGAAATGGAAGCTCTGGAGGCAGTCACAGGCCTGGAGCTGAGCTTGAGGACTGGGGCTGGGACCACACTGCACATCTCTCTCACTACAGACACAGACTTTTCCTACTGATCTTCTAAGTTGTCTTTGGTGTTCATGAGTTGAGAAGTCTGGAAACCGCCACAACTGCCTGTGATTCAGTCCTCTGAGGCCTGCTCCAGGTTTTCAGAGGCCTACACGCTCATGCCAAACTGTTCTTCTCTCCCAGCCCGGCACAATATACCTTTCTGATTAACAATCCGGGTTGTCTTGGGCTGTAAATTTGTTTCACTCTGTCTTTTTGTGGGTTCTGCTGCTTTAGAATTTGTTTTGAGCCATTTTTTACAGGTATTTGGAGGGGTTTGGGGGAGAGCTCAAGCAAGTCACTGCTTTTACTCTGCCATCTTGGCTCCACCCCCCAATTATGCCAAAATTTTATACTTTTTGGCATAATGTTCAAGGCCTTCCACAATCAGAGCAAATGAATGCAGAAACCTTTGTGAAGCACTTACAATGTACTAGGCAATGTACATTGGAGATACAATACAAAACTGAGACAATCCCTGTTCTCAAAGCATTTACATTTTAAAAAAGGGAAATAACACATATGGGAGGATGGTGCTTGAAGAAGACTGCTTGGGTCTGAGAAATTATATGAGTGGAATATAGTGGAATCATAGTAAAATCAATTGATGCACCTTTTCTAGAAGTCAGTGGTAGTATTGATTTGTCTGTTGTTTCCAAAATGAGGGAGAAAGCTAAGGATAGGAGTAGAAGGTGGGGAGGTGTATGAGCAGAGCAGATGGCAAGGACAGGACTGGGGTAGATGGTTGGATGGAATGTGAAGTATGGCCTGATTTGAGATTGGCTGGATATTAGTCAATCAACAAGAGTTAATTAATCACTATGTGCCATATACTGTGCAAAGAGCAAGGATACAAAGAAACCTAAAACCCCCCCAAAATAGTTCCTGCCCTTAGGGAGCTTACATTCTAATGAGAGAAAAACATATGTGTGTGTATATATATGTTCATGTACATGATATTTATAAAGTATATATATGTATGATATATATAAAGTATATATACAAACATGTACATGATATATATAAGGTATATATAAACATGTACATGATATATAAAGTATATATGTGTGTATGTGTGTGTTTATATGTATGTATTATATGTGTATATATGTATATGTATATGTGTGTGTGTATATGTGTGAGTGTGTGTGTGTGTGTGTGTGTGTGTGTGTGTATATATATATAGTAGGTACAAGATGATTGGGGTGCAGGGATATTCATGCTCCTCCTTTTTACCAATCTCCAACCCCAACTATCTTGTACTTCACTATATTCTATTCATTTCTATTTATTCTTTTTATATTTATTCTACACACACACACACACACACACACACACACACACACACACACACACACAAAATCTACCCTCTCTGATGAGGGAGGAATATTTAGCTGTTCTTTAGAACTGAGATGATTCATTGCAATTCATCAGTTTTACTGCTTTTTAGTGTTGTTATTATTTATATTAGACAGCTAGGTGGCATAGTGGATAGACAGCCAGGCTGGAATCAGGAAGACTCATCTCCCCAAGTTCAAATCTGGTGTCAGACACTTACTAGCTGTGTGACCCTGGGCAAGTCACACAACCTCTGTCTGCCTCAGTTTCCTCATCCATAAAATGAGCTGGAGAAGGAAATGGCAAACCACTTTAGTATCTTTGCTAGGACAACCCCAAATAGGGTCATGACTGAACAGCTGCAGTAGTAGAAGGAATTTCCTTAACCAAGAGTTGCCTAGATCAATGAAATCCCTGGTCTGTGCCTATTC